ATAACCATCTTTAGTATAATGTATAGATTCTTGTAAGATAACATGACCTTCATGGATGATTTCCGGGACAACTACTTCACCATTGTTGACGGATACAGGAATAGATAACCGATTATTTGTACGATAGATTATTTTAAAAGGAATTTCGATACCTAGTTTACGGACAGAAAATATGTGAGATTCATAGTCAATGTTTGCACCCAATTGATCAAGTTCACCAGTTCCGAGAAGAATATCAAAATCATCATGCCAGTCTGCAATTCTGACTATAAGAGGTGTATGAATACCTATTTCATTTAGTACCGGGTAATATAAATTTCGAGTTTACGTTTTCGGAGTTTTCATGGAGATAAGAGTGAAGGGTTCATAGAATTCATGTTCAGGGTCATACATTTTAGCAGCTCTTGGGGTAGTAACTGTATCTGATCCACCGGAGTCGATCAAAATTTTCAAATTGGAATGGGGTAGGTAGAAATAGGGTAGCTTGGTGTGTTTTGAAAAGTTATTTAATTGGATGGTTCGATATCGGGCGGTTCCTGAATGGCAGGCCCTTGAAAATTTTCGGAATAAGCTTGTTGGTCTTTATATGTGTCATAATATTCGTGATTACAACATTCGTCAGAATATGTGACGGAATTTGGGTCACACTCTACATTATGATGAAAAGTACCACTATTATGAGTGGAGGTGGACATCGGAGTTGGTTTACGACTAGTAGTCTGCGTTACTGACATAGGACTGGGCTTGTATTGATTATTCGGTACATTATTTGGACGAGAAGGACCGAATACTTCTCTGTTAGTAGGAGGATTTTGACGTTGAGGTATGGGCCGATTTATATCACCAAATGTTCTGTTAGGTGTAAACGATTGGAAGCGGGGCTGTTGAAAAAAATGTTGGGTACCATTAGATGGATTCTGTTGAATCGAAGACTGAAAATTGGGTAATGCATTTCGATTACTCGGTTGAGTGACAGCTTGGGCATTACGTTGAATGGGACGTGGTGGTGCCTTTTGATACTCATTGGGGTAGGTAGAGGATTTCAGATACGACATATATTGCTGTTGTTGCTTATGGTTATCTAAAGAAATACATTTCTGAAGAGCTTCGTCTAACGAAGATAAATCGTAATGAGATAGGTGGTCGCAATATGGATTATTTATACCAGTACAGAAGGTTCTAAGTGCTTGATTTCTAAAGAATGAAGCTTTAAACTCAACTGCCTGTGGATTACTTTCATGAAGTGAAACATGCTGAAGAATATCATTTAATGCTAGTGTTACTCGGTGGTGATATTCATGATACGATTCGGATCGTTTTTGGACTGTGGTTGTGAGTTGGGTTAATAAAATTTCCTCGGTGCGATGATCACCATATTTCTGCAATAAAAGTAGCTTTATCTCAGTCCACTGAGTTTGATTGTGAAGATTTAAAAAATCACGAGCCTCGCCTTTTACCTTAGACAATATATTAGCATTTATGATGTAGGTTTGGATAGCATCCGCACCTTGTTGAGAAAAAAAATTTACCAAATTATCTACAGAGTTGATAAAAGTAGATAGATTTTCACCCACTTTGTATTCTGGCAAGGTATTACACAGATTATTGATATCCTAATTTGAGAGAACCATGTTTGGGTTTTCTGTAATAGTTTCTAAGGAAGAGGTACTTAATTGTTCGGTAGAAATATTTTCGAGAGAGGGAGTAGAATATGGCTTAAATCTAGACTTTTGAAATTCTTCGAGTACTAGGTGAAATAACAGCTTGTAAAGAATCCTGTGGATACTCGGAACTCATAGGAAAAATGGAATTGACTTACATAAGGATCAGACGAATCAGAAGGATTTTCATCTCCAGTACGGTCTCCAGTTTCCTCAGGTCCGTGGTATTTGTAGATAACTGCCAAGTCGTTGACACGAGCCGATGATCCTCAGGGATGTCGTGCAGCTATCCTGTTCGCAGCGCCAGTTAAATTCTCGAAGCCAGGATTTTACTTTTTAAAACATATTTATTTGAGTATCGACCGACTATTACAAAGATGAGTTATGAACTGAACTGATTAACAAATGAATAAAACCAAGTAAACCAAAAATGTCTATGTTGCATTTCCGGTAAAGGTGAACGCCGTTCATGTGCCGACGTATGGTTACCGTATCCGATTGGATACATAACTCGCGAAACTTTTTAAACATTGGAAAGTCAGGGCTTGTAATCACTTGGCCGATCTTTCATTCAATCACGCCTTTTAACACCAATTTGCAGACGTAATGGCGGCAAGCAAAAATATGCATTTCTTTGCTTCTGTTCTAGAAGTACGCAGGTACCGTTAATGCGACCCATATTTGAAGCAGTAGTATCACAACAGGGAATCTAAATTTTATCTTCAAGGTTCCAGTCGCTTGTCGCCTAAAGAGTTATCTTATTTGGGTACAGCGATAAGTTGCTCTTTGTTTTAATACGATATAACAATCGGTAGACGTTCTCCTTTAGACTTGCGTGCATTTAAAGGTGGCAACAATTTGCCATCCCACTGGACAGTTATAGTATCGGGTACCTCGCTTAGAAGATCAAGCTTTATAGATTCTGCGCGCCCCTATCGCTTTTCAGTACGAATTTTTTGAATAGAGCACTTCCTTATTGGAAACTCATCAGTGTGATGTCCAAGTGCCTCAATGGTTGCTTCAATAATAAAAACAGCATCTCACATACTTAACTGATACCTGTGCTGCCACTAATTTTGGAAATATGAAACATTTCCCCCATTTGAGTTTGATTAGTATCAGCCTGTATGCTCTGTATTGGTATCGGCAAAGTTTCCTGTAAATTTATCTCGGAATCTGAAGATGAATTTTCTTGCAATGGTTCGTAAGATACTGTCGAAGGAAACAATATATTTAGCTCGCCGCTTTTGTTCGTCGGTGTTCCTTAGACGTGCCTTTTCTTCTTTTATGGTTAATTTCTTGTCCACCCCAACTAAATGACCAGGTCGATCTGGCTCTCTCTGCCACAAGAAAATCCTATCCCCATTCATTTTCAACAACTTCTTGTGCCTTTCTTGCATGTGTTTGCAAATCTTTGCAAACTTGGTAAAAAGTAACTAGCTAGGTAGAGATTTAGTCGGTGTTCCGCCTTTTCTCAGTAAATAATGCACTCACGAATCGTAAGGTTGGCGCTCTCACCGTTAAGTTGATACTTTACGCGCCATCATTAATATTTGACGGTCAGTTGGACCAATGGAAAAATACCCTATCAAAATGCAATTTGACGGAAGCTGTCAAAGGTCTCTGAATGTCAGTGATTTCTATTAAAATATTGCATAAAATCGTGAAAATTCGATTGTATTATAAATAAGAGCTCTTTTTGATTCCAACATGATGCTTTTGCACAGAGAAAACAGGAAAACTTTCATGTATTTTGATTTCTCTTATAAATTTACATTTTACAATCCGTTATCCCCATACCCAATGGGAATGCGACAAATAATAGATCGGTTTTCTAGCTGTTAAATTTAACTGCAGGTTTGGACGTTTGTTAATGCATGGCAATCTCGAATTTGTTAAGTTCAATATACTGAGTGTTCATATGCTATCATTATAGCTACATACCTGTTGAATAGTGCGGATTTGTCTGTATTTTGCAAGAAAATAGATTATAAAATACATTCCAACTAATTCCTCATCTTCCTTTACATCATAATAGTAATCATTTATTAATTTATAGGTTAATGAATTTCTTCAAAGCAATAAAAACATTAAGTCCTCTCCATCCTAAAATACAGATAATATGTGTAAGACGTGTCAATCCATACATCTCCGAGATGCATAATGGAATTACTATGGACATAGACAAAAAATTATGAAAAATTTCTCGCAAATAATGTCTATTAACTCCTAAAATCATAAAAAATAATAATGTTTCTCGTTTGATTGCCTTTTTGACTGGCGGGGATATCTATTTGTCCCTCGCAGAGTTGCCAAGGCTAACGACGATCACTTTCCGTGGTGGAGGGTGCGGAATGAACCTTTTACATTTGCTGGTTTTGAAGTTAAGGTAGGAACACAAAGATAGTATTTATGATCGTTGGAGCTAGACTGATAACACTTCTTGAAGAATATATGTAAAGTGTGAACACCATGATTAAATTGCAAATGAAGTATCTGAAAATTCTTACATAGTGGACCTTCGTCATAGTTTACTATCCTGATTATGATCATCCTTGGCAGATGTGTTGTATCGTCGAATTGATGAAGAAATATAATATAATATAAATATACCTACGTACAGCGGATTTTTCATAAAAATTTACTAGGTATCATGATTATAACCATCTTTGGTAGATTGTTCGAGCCGGAAAGATCTCCTATCTATGAAATATTTTTGGTGTCACCTAACCCTTGCAATCAGTGCACAAAAGCTGTGACATATGATTTATAGCATAATCCGCTGCCCTGTCAACACAAATTTAACATACAGGTCGCCTAGCCGTGGGGATGCAGCGGTCGGGATGAATATCACGGCAGCAACTGATGATATGGTCTGGTCTGGTAACAACGTATGAAGTGAAACTCGCTAACTTCACAAATTTGACGATTTTGTACAATTTTATTGAAAATGATGAAGTATATGTTTGATTTGGCAAGATAATGCCGCAGCCAAATGGCAGTCGATCTTCCTGGACGCTAACCAAGCAGATTGAAAAGAACTTCTCACACAGTGGCCTTCCACCACTTACGTGTCAGGATAGAACGATTGTAACTGACTCGAAAAGATCTTGCTGCCAACTCCACCATGGACGCCCCCCAAAACAGCTTCTGGTCTGGACTCGATTGTAGTGAAGAGGTGTGCATCGGAGCTTGCTCCAGTTCTTTCACGCCTCTTCCAAATAACTTACGAATGAAGAAAACTGTAAATTTGCTCATATTAACCTACCCAAAAAAAAAGGATCTGAAACCGACCCTTACAACTATAGGCCTATAGCTCTGCTTTCTGTTATAAGTAAGATGAAGAGAGGTACATAAATCGCGAGCTTCTGGACTTCCTCGAACGTCTCGACTTGATTAGCGACAGGCAGTATGGTTTACGATACCAGCGATCCACAGAGGACCTCCTAGCTTACGTCACGCAATTGTGGAGCAAACTAATTCAGCATTATCGTGAGGCTTATGTCGTTGGGCTTGATATCACGAAAGCTTTCACTCAGCTGTGGCACGCGGCCCTCTTTATGCAAACTTCCATGACCTTCCAGAAAAGATTTGCAGATGGGTGGCTGACTTTCTCTCTGGCCGAAAGATATCCGTCGTAATTGACGGGATCTCCTCTTCATCCTGCAAGGTTAACGCGGGTGTTCCCAAGAGATTGGCCTTGGCTCTGACACGGTCTTCTTGCATATCAACGACCTCCTTTCCTGCACGATCAACCCAATCCACAGCTTCGCTGATGACAGCACTCTACATTCAGGAATTCAGAGTGACAAGTCGATCTCTGTCGCTGAGCTGGAAAAAGAAGACTAACGACGACTTCCTCTCCGACAAGAGACCTGGAGGCTATCACTGCTTGGGGACGCCACAATTTTGTACGGAGTAATGCTCCGAAATACAGTACTGTACCTTGACAGACAAAAAAGCGTTCTAGCGCTCATAGGGTTCCGGTGGATGGCAGGGTTCTGCCAAAGAGCTGTTCATTTCGGCTGGTCGTAGTCTGGATCACCGGGGACTTGTTCTGGCACGAACTCATCTTGTTAGAAGCGGCAGCTGCTGGGAAAAAGCTAGGCTAT